AGATAGGAAGACAAAAAATACAGATAAATTTTGGAGTTGGTAAAAATTGATAGTGGTATGGTTGGTAACAACAGAGCGCAATATTAGTGAGAGGGAGAAGGGGTTGTAGGAGAAAAAGAGAAAATAATATGAAAGAGAGATGGAAGGAGGGAGGAAGAGATGAAAATTAGAAAATTGATGAAAATTGTTTTTTGATATTAGGAAATGACTAGTAAAATAATAAGAAGTATTTTTCGGCTTTAAATGTACCTTTATGAATTAATTATTAATTGGAGGACATTTTAGTCATTTGATTATACCAAGAGAGGTCTATGTAATTATTGAAACCTCAAGAGAGCCGAGTGAAATTGTTAAAAACCTCAAGGGAGGTTTCTGAAATTATCCCATTTGTTGTTGCATCAAACATTGACTTCTAGATGACTGGCTTGGGCTTAAAGCACATTTCTAGGTGAAATTAATGAAATTCAGCCGATTGAAATCTTGTAGACTTGGAACTACCTCCTAAGGAAAAGAAATCAAGGAATCTGAGGCAAAAGCTAATTCTCGTTCTCGTTCCACCGTTATCCTGGCTACTGTTTAACGTAGAAGTGGACTGCTGTATAGTCGGATTCTTGTAATGATTATTTTGGGTGAATGGAGCTTGACTGACAATTTCTTGCTCGTGTATTCCAGCAATAAAGAGTAATAGTATGGCAAAGAGACCAAATATACTCAGAATATTACTTCCTATCTGTAATATATGACGAATAACGTATGAAAAGCCTAGCAAATATACAGTCTGTAGGGCTGAAATGTCCTCACTGTAACAAGCAAGTGCAAGTGTATGCCTATCCTCGAGAATGAACAAGAAAAAAGGCAACTAGTTTTTAATATTTTTCTTGAAATGATGAATATATGGGGTCTTTTTTTTGTATTTTCGCTAAATCAAATAACTTGGATTCCGGATTTTGATGCGCAACAGATCTTCTGTCCCACATCCTGTGTCATTCTCTGTCCCATTTTTTATTATATTATTATTTCTCCTACATAAATACCATGTTTTAGTTCTTTTTTTATTTTCTTAAGATCCAATAACTATTAATTTAATAAAAAATAAATACAACAGTTTAAAAAAAGAAATATATAATAGAAAATTAAAAATGTAGCAGAAAATTCATAAAAAATCTCATTTTTTATGCATTTTGATTTTTTGAGTTTATTAAATTTTGTATATTACTTAGTTAATAGTTATTGGATCTTAAGGAAACAAAAAAAGAACTAAAACATGGTGTTTATGTAGGAAAAATAGCAATATAATAAAAAAAGGGACAGAGAATGACACAGGATGTGGGACAGAAGATCCGTTGCGATTTTGATGTAATCTTATCTTCAGCGTTTGCAGAGGGCTGGAGGCTTCAAATTGAATGATCAGGACGTATAAAGAACAGTGGTATGAAGAATTAGCACCTTCATTATGAAAATTCAGAATAATAAGTTAACCTATTACTATCAGTTTTGTCATGTCATTACTCGTTTATCATCATATGGATACAGCATCTTTGGCTTCGTCATTATTTGCTTATACAATTTCTTTTCTAAGTAACTTTGTGTTCTCTTCATCTATGCATCGATTAGGAAGAAAATGTTGTACTGTACGGTTTGAATTGCTATTTTGAGAAGTTTTTATAAAAAAGAAAATGTATTATAGTGATTTGATATATATGAAAAAAAATTAATGAAAAAATATGTTCATGAAAAATATAAATTTTTTTTTTTGCGGAATAGCACAATTCAGACAAGGATACAAGTCTCATCGTACATTCTAATGCCTTATAAACCATATAGACCCTAAATCAATGAATATTGGCATATCGGTCATAACATTGAAATGTGTAGAATAGTCTTTTTTTTTTTTTTTGGAAAGATTACAAAGATTCTCCCATGGTAAGAGTAATACAATCAACAAACAAGCGCACAAATAGTAAAAGAATAAACTCACATATAGGGAAATAGGACTTCAAGACCTCTAACTCATAATGTCTTAACCTCCTTGACCATTAATAATGATATCTTTGAGTGCGTTTGTATAGTAGATTATTTGGGATAATTTTTTGAAAAAATATTTTTTTATGTGATATATGTGAGATAATAAGGTGACTGAAAAATATGTTAATAATGCAAGCTAATAAATTTTGACAAATTATTGACTATCCAATTCTTCGTTGCAAACGACTTGGCTTGATCCTTCCAAGGCCACATAATACGCTTAATTAACTAATGGACCGAAACTGTTCTGATTATCATAATAAGAGCTTAATTGTGTCACATCCTACAAATTTTGTATTATAATCAGGTGTGTCAAGAACAAATCACAAAAATCTCAACTTTAATCAATTACCTTCATTCGTGTTTGTAACATTAATTATGCACAAATTTTCACACCTAAGGAAAGGTATGAAAAGTTCAATGTGCGTGCAAAAGATAAATGATTTCCAATTACGCCAGCAGTGGATGAAAGGAGAAATTAAGAGTCCTGTGACATTGGAAACCCGTCATGAAGACTTGCAAGTCTACTCAATTTTAGCCTAATTAAATTCGTGAAAACGCCGCCTCAAATTGGAAACAAATATTAATACACTACACAATAGACGTGGGCTTTAAGTTGTATACCAAAATACCACTAGTCAAATATTTTCTTTGGTTGAAAAAAGGAGCACGAGCTTTAGACTTTGGTTCCCATGATCACAAGGGGTTAAAAAAAAAAAGAAGAAGAAAGGATTTACTTCCTTTATTCAAGTTGATTGCATGTTTCAATAACTATAAATATATAGATATATAGTCGTCAACTATGATCAATAATAAGTGATAAGCATGACAAATGACAAAGTATGTTGAATAAATTTCCCTATAAGTCTAGGCTTAATTCAGCCAACAATGTTTAATATATGTTACAATTAAAAAAAAAGGAAAAAATTAAGTAAATCTTCGGTTCCTATGACGTTGTTCTCGGTTGCTTTAGATTTTACAAAATCTATTTATGAAGACTGATTATGGAGAATAATCAAAATCAGCAACAACCACTCTTTAGATAATTATAGATTTTAATTTTTTATCATATTAAAAAATCTATAATTAGAATACAAAAACAGTTGAGAACATCACAAAAACTAATTATCTAAAGTGAAAATCCATAATCAGTTAAAATAATCAGACGAAAATAAGCCCTATGTGGTCACGAACTTTTTGAATTGGATTTGAGGGGATAGATGAGAAGGAAGTTCTTCTTTGTTTGCTACTTTTTTAATTCGTTTGCCCAAATAAATTGCGCAGACGTGACTAAGCAACAACCAAAATACGAATTAATAAAGCCTAAAACAGTATGTCAAAATGAGCTATGATTCATGAGAGACATAGAGTCATCATCTTTACCATTATAAAAATGAAGTCAATCGTGAATGTAACGTGGAAGCAGGCCGGTTAAGGATATTCTGTGCCATTTCTGTGTTTTTCTTACTCTTTTTTCTTTTTTTAAACATTTTCGTTAGGTCCATGCATCTACTTCTTGATCAGTTTTAGTTAACTACCAAATCAATTTACTTAAAACGGTGGATATATCGCATCATATTTGGTATTGGAAGAAAATACACGTAAACTATACACAATAACTAGACAAAGTTGCATTTGCCCTTGAAAAATAGTAAACAAAAAGTTATTCTTCTTTGGACATAATTTGTACGTAGAAGGGTCTTTGAAGAACTTTGAATGGGTGTTGAAATTGCAATGGGCAAATTTTGCCAAGAACATGATCCAGAATTAAAAATAACCTAATTTGGAATCCTCAGCTTGTAGAACATGAGCCTCAACTTGTTGTAAATAATATCAAAACATTTTCTTTGTAAACAAAGTTGGGTTATACAAAGTTGTACAAAATTAAAACTCAACTTGGGTTATACAAAGTTGTAGAAAATAACCCAATTTGGAATCCTTAACTTGTAGAACATGAGCCTCAACTTGTAGTAAATTGAGTAGACCCCTGTACAAAGTTGTTGTACATATATATATATATCCCTTAATTGCATTTGACACGTAACGTTGTATGATTTGTCAAATACTATGTTTTTGTATCATTGCTGCTAATGTTTCAGTACATGTAGCATGTTGTTCAATTGGTATCATTCTTCTTTTTAGCTTCTTTTTCCCTGAATTCTTCTTCTGGCGAGTAATTCGGATTGGATAAACACATGACATCGAGGTCAACTTGTTAAAATCATAATATATGATATGATGAATCTTGCAAGAAATGCAAAACATTAATTATTCAAATGCAAGGTCTTGGTTGAGTCCAATTTGGTCTGCCGAACTGTAATCTGATCAAGGAAACGAAAGACGTAAAGGTAATTAATGGCTCTAGAGACTGTCGCTGAAAGGGATTATTTAGCATTTTGTTTGTGTTTTTGAGAGAGACATAGAGATGAAAATCAAGGCCAAGAGTTGGTAAGAAAAAAAAAAAAAGACAAAACCTTGGATTGCAACATCCATAGCAAAACAACAAAATGTTTAGCACGTTCCTAAAGATAAAGAACCAAACAAAAACAAGCCACTAGAAACTTCTCGGGACAAAGAAACACTAACAGTAATGAGAATGAGTTGAATCATTCACAAACATCCAAATATTGAACTCCATTTTTATTTTGCTTCCAGTGCTTAGTTGGGGGAGCAAATTACATTATTTAACTCCATGCCATATGATATTCCTCGTTTAAGGAAAGATTAAAAGCAAAGAAAATATGATGAATTGCATACTCATCCAGGAGTTCGAAAACCTCAAGTGATGATCAGGAAGTAGTGCAGTGAAAAGATCGAACTCAAGAGAAGAAGGGATGGATCCCAGAAATGAAACTCTAACTTAAACCCTAATTAAATAATTAAAGATTGAATAATTAATCAATAGCTGGTCATAAAAAAAAAGAAATTACCAACATTTGTTTTCAAGTCAATACGCTACTAACTACTATTACTAATTAAGCAAGCTGGGATTGTCCATAAGCATCCATATGAGAAGCTTCCATGGGCATAGCAGGAAGCAATGGAAACTCATGGTTGAGCTGTTCCATGAAGCCCTCCAACTCAGCAAAACCACCTAAGAAACCTCCACCAGAATTTGCACCTCTCCATATTTCTTCTTCACCCTTAATCCTTTCTCTGAAGCTGGCACAGTGGAAACCGCTTCTTAGTTCCATTTTCTTCGCCAGTGGCCTGTGAATCATGTGATGCTGGGGCAAAGTACTGCAGGAAGTATTTCTTGATGCCTCAATTTTGTTGGAGGGAACAATTCTTGGTAACTTTTTCTTGGTGCAACTGCCGTTTTTGTTCTCTGTGGGCTTTCCAGTGAGCCTTTGCACCAATTCCCGGAAATTCGCGACGTCGGTCTTGATGATCTCCGGTGCAAATATGTGAATTATGCGAATTTTGGGCTTCACTTTGGATATCATCTGAGAATTCTTATGCAATCCTAGTGCTGCACCTGTTACGCTAGTATTGGCGACACAATTTTGTCTGTTCGTCATGCCTTCCATAATATACATCAAGACTACCTGGAACTTGAGATTTGAGCTGTAGATAAAAGAAAATGGTAAGTTGTAAAATTAGTTAGGAAAGAAGGGGGTTGGAGAAAGAGTGGCTTCTTAGGACTGCAAAGGTTGGTTGATTCTTTAGTGAGGAAGAAAGGGGGGATGTTTGTATATATAGGAGAGTAATCAAAGGTACTTGTTGAATAGAATATAGTAATGAAGGGACGATAGAAAAAATTTGAAAAGAAAAACAAGCTGTCTGTTGAGGCAAGGATTGAATGAATCCTTTTCTGACATATTGAAGAATTGGAGAGAGTCAATAAAGTATGGAATTCATCTATCTATTGGTCCCCGAGTAATAATATTATAAGAGCCTAGTTAAAATGACAGAAACAGTCCTCTGTCTCTTAGAGTTGATGACGAAATTAATGCAAAACAATATGATAATCAAACTTTAGCATGAAACACAGTAGTTGCCAACTTGGTTTATATTTAACTCACAAAACCCTAATGTTAAGCTTTGTTTATGTTCTCTTTTTTAAAAGAAGAAGAAAACAGACTGTTGCCAAGCAGTCGAGGGAATTCAATTCATAGTATATATTAAAGTAACATTACGAACTAACTGATTGACCTTTTCTTGAACTGTCACTGCTAATTTGTTAAACGGACTGTTTAACAAGTGTACATTCGTTAAGATATATTTCGGGTTTTAGATTTTTAGAAATATAAGATTAATTAGGGAAAGCATATAAATGCAAGAAAATTAATTAGGAAAAGTGTATAAATGTAAGAGAAAATAGTAATTATTAGTGTACGTATATACATAGTAGGTTGGGTGGAATATAAGTGTGTTAACGAGTGCTCTATTAAAAAAACCATTTGTTAAATGGTGGCAGAGTATTGTGTGCTTAATTTTCTCATTGAGTGTTTCTCCAAGAATGTTGGTTTAAGAAGTAATTTAGCAAATGCCAAGGTTATAACTCAATGAGAAATTCTAAACAAGAATTAAGTACAATATGTCGATAAAAAATTAAGTAAATCGAAAGCACTAAGAATACTGGTCCCATTCCATTATTCATCGTCAGTCTTCTTTCAACTTAGTCTTAACTATTTCCCTTCTCAAAAAGCAAAAAAAAAAATATTAAATCTTTAAAAAGATGAAAAATTTGTTTCCTCTTCTAGCTAGTGACATAATGATAAAGATATATGATCAATTATAATAATCTAGTTCGTACGACGTTTCACCTATAACTAACAGGTCACAGGTTTGAGCCATTAAGAGAATAGGTGAAAAATCACTATTGATCCTTTGAATTTTTTTAAAAAAAAAATTACAACAGCACCACGTTCCTCCTTAGATAATAATCATTAGACTCAAAAAAATTAAAGAAAAAACAAGAAGTTTAACTCAATCATACATGGTAACTGTTTAGTTCATTTGCTGCTTATAATTAATTAGTACTCCACAAAAGAACTAACAACATAATGCACAAGTCAATCACAAACATTCTTAGCAATTTTCGTGTAAAGGACAATTAGGTCATTATAAAGGACTAACATGTCCAGCAACAAGCAAATACGTGATACTCGATACAAGAATGCGCGTAGTAGGAAGAAATTGAGCCAAATGTCATGGCTCCCATTATGGATTTGGGTACGGCCATGTTTTGTCCAGGTTTCAGACGTCTCAAAAACTACTATCTCTGTATCTTTCTTTCGTTGATTTGGTGAACCATACATTGCTTTATACTTGCAATATTCTTTGGTAATCCTACCATCAAATCTTTATTATGTGCTCATGCATCTTTGAAATTCATCACAAGTTATTGCTTCAGGTTTTTGGCATTACGTTGTATGTCCTTCTTGAATTAAACATGCTTTTGGAGAACATTCCCACGTACTGCATTAATATGTTTAGCAATGATTCCAAACCAAAAGAATTCAATTTCATTTCATTGAGTTGTGTTTGCCTCTATTTGGTACTTGAATGCCCTCGAATTCAAAGCTTTAAACACAACTGAACTCCAAGGTTTTGCCATGGTTTTGACTTTTTCAAATGTATGTGCCATTAACTTTATGTGTATCAAATGCTTCTGTCAATATAGAAGATTTTAGGACAAATTATTATCTCTAAACTTTAGAGTTGAAAACTTGAAAGAGTAAAATTTCGTATAAATTCCATAGCTGTGTTTATAATTTTATAACAATCTATCAAAAGAATGGTATTTAGCAAACATCCAAAATCATGTTAAATTCCCTAACTTTTTGTAAGTTGTTGTTTTTCAAAAGCTGCGGAATTGTTTGGATTACATTTTTGTGGAAAGTTTTTCAGAAGTATTTTTTTTTTCAAAGTATTTCTTTGACGCATTTCATAACCTTTTTTTGCTTCACGTACATCACATTTAAAAAAAAAGATTAATCTTCCCTACATCAGATTTAAAAGTGCTCATTGTCATCCGCTGTAGAAGATATATTAAACATATTAATCAACATTACAGTTGATCAGCAAATGAAAAAATAACACACGTTACATACAAATGCTTTAATTAGCAAATTCTGTCAAGTACTCTTGTTAAACAACTTTTGCAAATAAACACCAATCCTTAAAATTACATATAAGAAATGCTAAATCCTTGAAAACAGATTCGACTTGGGATAATTTTTCTCATTATAGATAAAATAGTATTCATGTGCTAGCAACTTCTGGCGGATTCTAGTATGGCATCAGAACTAATCCTTGTTCAGGCTCACAGTTAATGCGCCTGCCTTCCTACTTGCCTCTGATTGTCTTTCTCTTAGAATAACATGACCAGTTGATACCTTCTCAACAGGTGCTTCTGCTATATCTATTTGTTTATTTAGGTCGTCCAAAACAAATTTCATTTTCCTACAACGCTTTAAATTAACTGTTTCCACTGTCACTACACCTTTTTGCCTTACTAACAATCAAATTCTGCCGCTATAGTATCAAGGTCTCAACGTACTAATGAAGTTATCCTCAGAATCCCAACAATCATAGTCTGGAGCACTATAATAATTCCCTGTTCAAATCATAAAAGATTTGCCCTGGACTCTTATACTATGGCACTAGTGTGCCCAGATGGTATGTTCTTTGGCTTTTACATGTTTGGCTTGTTCTTGAGAAAGATAGAGATTGGATGGACTCTCCGAGTACATTTTGGTGCTAGTGATATATAGCCAGACCTGCGTGGTCCCTTGTGCCTGTTGCTCTTGGGTATTGACCAATTCTCTCCAACTCCAGCTTTCACGATTTCACCAGTTTCTGTATCCTTCTTCCATCTGCTCTTTCCATGTTGTCTTTCTCAGGGTAAATGACACGTAAATTCCGCATTTCTGTTTGCTACTGCTTGCTTTTATTTATCTGAAACTAAAGAAACTTTTCTTGGCAACAACTATTCTTCACTAGAATTATGTGCACAGTTTCACATCTGGGTTCAAAAAGGTTTTGGAGCTAGTCTCAGTGCACTTTCTCGTAGACTTGTCTAATTGCTCTTGTCCCTAATGTTTCACCTTTCAGCAGATCCATTGCCCCGATTTTTAGATAATTATCTTTTCCAATCACTCACTTGCATTAATTGGGAAATGGGACATGTTTGATTTCTTGAGTATCTGCAGGTTTCATGAACATGATTTACAACTTGTCGTCGGACTGAAAGATGAGTAACTAAACTTAAAAATGTGAACTACACACAGATTCCACAAATAGGCTTTTAAGTTCAGACCAGTCCAAACAAACTTACCATTTTTTTTTTTTTTTGGTATTAATCCTGTTGCACTAAAAAGTGAGTTAACATTAAAAAGTGACTTGGGTGCACTAATTAATCAAATCTACTATGAATTAATTAACAGCTGCATAAAAAATGCAGGTAGTGGACCCTGGAGGAAAGTCTAACACCCTATAATTGGTTCATCAATTATACATTAACTTATCCGAAACATCGCAATATTCACCCAAGAACACAAATGAGACCCGCTTCCATCCTTGAGAAAATTTTCGGCAGGACGTGCAAATGCTTCCAATTCAAGGAGCAAATAGGACAAGCACTCTCGCTCTCAGCTGTAAATAAATAAGCCTATGTATGTTGCTTAGGGAGCATGTTTCATTGCATGAGAGTGCTAGAATTTGGATTTTTATTTTACTGAGCATCGCCTTCGCTAAATATTCCTACTCTCATCCAAATATCAAACACAAATTCATACACTACATCTTGCTGGTTACAAGTAACATGTCGACATTTTCAAGACGAGAACTAATTGCATAAGTTTGATGATATGATAGCTCAATTCAAGAGTAAATAGATAGATAATAAAGATGGGCTCTTTCCGTATTGACGTTAGGAAGAAACTTAAAAGGAAAGTTAATTATGTCTCTGTAGTACCAGAAAGATGATTACAAGTTGTCAGCTCTCTCCTACCTAATCCCTTTCAAACAGAAAAGAAAAAGATCGTACGAGTGCTGGCTAGTGAAATTTGGCACAAGATAATTGGGGGTTTTTAATAGCTTTGATAGTTGTAAGAGTTTTTTGCCCATAGTTGCGAAATATTTTCCTTCAAAAACAGGCTACTATATAAGTTTATATTCTTCTTCACGAATTCATCTAAAGATAATCATATGCAATTGCTTAATCGATCATGTGGTTCAAATTTAACGATAGTAAATAACTTTCTATAAAGAAGAGTGGTTTTTAATTACTTCTTCACCTTGAAAGATTTGACACTTGTTCAATCACCAGGCATAAAATGTTGTTAACGCAGCCAATTTCTTGCGCTTATTGTACTTTCTTGTGAAACTTTTATACACGTATGTCTACACCAGGTAGTATATTCCTGTCACATTATTTACTTTTAGTTCGCATAATGTGTTGGCAGATATGGACGCAAAGTCATCTTTGTCTGTCAATATTGCTTGGTATGTTGGGTGAAAAGTTCGCCATTCAACATTAGACCCTTAATCTAAGCTATAATTGTTGACTGAG